ATATATATACATATATATATATATATATATATATATATATACACACACTGTATAAACACACACACACACTTTCTTCCTCTAAAACTGGGCCCCAATTGAAACTGAAACTCCCTGATGTAACATACATGAGCTCAGTTGAGGAAGAGGAGAGGGAGGCTGAACCATTTACTGCCCACACAACCCCCGAGGCACCTGAATCTACCTCGTACAATGAGAACGAGTGATATATATATATATCTGTTCTACCCCTTACAATCCATTAACCTCTGTCAAATGATTGGAAATATATTCCATCGAACACTGGGTTGAGAAAGTGCAATGCATTGCTTTTGTGAGAGCTACTTTAGAGAAAAAAACAGCAGATAATATCTGGGGTAACAGCTAATGGAGCATAAACGATGATGATGATGATGACAGTGATTCATCTGAAAAGTTCAGCCATACATTAGAAAGCTTGATTGGAAATGATAATAGTGTGCTATAAAACCTTAAGTCAGCATGTGTTTCCAGATGTTCTGGGATAATTTGGCTCCTTAACTCTGTGGTTATCCAGCAGCACCATGTGTTCATGTGTTCCTGCATGACCTCTCTGAGCCAGCAGGTTAGAAAGCTCACAAGGGCTGAAAATAGCCTGATTGGGGAATCAGGGCTGTATGTACTGCCACACTCTGCAGCTTGACAGACAACTTCTCTGTAGGGAAGAAAGGGTGTGCTGGTTCTGTGCCATCGGCTCAGGTCCACGGGTCAATGAGCATGTCCGAGCAGAAGGGGAAAGACATGATTCACTCACTCCATGCAGCTTTCAGTTTACTCCCTTACTCATTAATTTACTCACACTCACATATGCATGCTCACAATCAACACAGTTCACACTATTTATTTACAAAAAGCTGGCCTTATTACTTACCTGCTTTGTGCACATGTGAGCAGAACTAATCATAAACTTCATAAAAATAGTTTTTTACCGCTTAATTCCATGGCAGAACAAGTTTAGGTTTGTATATACACTGTGAAACCCTTTGGAGAACATCTAGGCATCTGTTCATTAAGGACAGCTCTCTAAGGAACTTACAAAATGGAACCTATAAGTTCTTGAAAGACTGTCAACCATTTCTTCATTAACACCCAAAAACGTGAAAGGTTTTGGAAATATATATTCAAGTTCCTTTAAGACAGAGGTGCCCAAAATTTTAATACAAATGGCCAAAAATCTAACTTGATTGAGGGCTGTGTGCCAAAAGTAAATGTTGCATTATATCCACATACATTATATTAAAACCTTTTTTTTTTTCATTTTCCCCTCCTCTTGTTGTATGGCATGGCAGGCCAAATCAAAGGTCATTACTGGCCCTGGTTTGGGCATCTCTGCTGTAAGATAAGATATATGAAGTATCTTAAAAAGAGCAAGTAGTGGTTCCCCAAATGCTTCTGAGTGTGTGACAACCATTCATTTTTTCATTTAGCGTTATCAGACGATTTTTGTTCTCAGCATCATGTTAAGATGGATAAATGACAGTTTGCAAATATTAAAGTAAAATTTACCATCTCTGGTGAACAAATTTTTTAGGGCAGCTGGGCAGGTATTGACCACCACCTCTCCGATATCGGCATGGTGCCAGCAAGAAATATTGTCCCACATCCCCCTGCAACCTGTAAGGATGTAGAAACAGAAAACAATATAAAAGCTCAACACATCTGGATCTCAAAATGTGCTGAAATAGCAGAACTTTCAGAAAAATTACTGCAGCAATGCACGTGAGAAATTTGACGTGTTTGACAGGAACCTGGGAAAATGTTTAGTTTGGGATAAGATCCGCATTCATTGACTAATGTTCTTGAGAGTCTTTCTGCTTTATGTGTTGAGTGTATTTGAATATGTTTTCTCTTTTAAGCTAACCCTACAAACATTACTCGAATTTGCCTTTTAGTTAGCATAGGCTAGGTACTACAGTTCAACCAAAAAAAAAAAAAAAAGGGGAAAGTCACTGGATCTCATGAGACTGGCCCACAGGTACAGGACACATTCCAGCATCTATGGTTAGATGAGTGTGTTGTGAAGGTCTGGGCATAAATAGAAAACATCACACCACCATACATCATCATCTACAACTCCAAACACTCTCAGAAACATCACAGCAAAGAGGGCATGCAGTTCTTTATGTACTAATAGAATAATTGACCTAAAAATGTAGAATTCGGTCATAATTTACTCACCATCATGTTGTTCCAAATCTGTATGATTTTTTCTTCTTCTGTGGAATACTATATAGCACATTTGGATTTGGAATATAATGTACGACTCATATTGATCGCTTTTATGATACATTTATGGCACTTTTTGGATCTTGAGAGGCCAGTCACCCATTCTCTGTCTGTATATAAGAGTGGCCAGTATAAAATATTTTATAATATTATACACTACTGTTCAAAAGTTTGGGGTCAGAGCCAATTTGATCTTTTGTGTTCCAAATAAGAAGAAAAAGTCATACAGGTTTGGAATGTCATGAGGGCAAGTAAATAATGACAGAATTTTCATTTTTGGGAACTATTCCTTTAAACAGCTGCTTCTGAAACAGCATGGTCGTTTCTGAGGAAATATAAGGAATCTAAACTAAGAGAAAATATGTCACTCATCAAGCATTAAGACACAGTAAACATCATCTCTGATTGGTCACACTCAGTCCACTATGCCCTTCTATGAACCATCAGAAATGTGGGATACATTAAGTGGTCCAAACTGCTTTTTTGCAGTTATCTCCAGAGGGATTTGTCACTCATTTCGCCAAATTGAATAGTCAAGTCCTGTGTGTATTTAATGCCAAATAATTACCATTAATTGGAAAATCTGTCCACTGATGGACACCATACAACTGTCAAAAAGGGAAACACAAGCATAGCAGGGTCGTTCCCACACTTCTGTTTTTATTCCGAAGTGGAAGCAAAGCAAAAAGAACAACACACAACAAACATTAAAAAATAAAGAAAAGATTGTCTATGACTGCATACTGATAGTGCGTTTGGCTTCTTCTTTTAAATGTAGTTGTTCAATATTAGAATTGTCAGATAAATAAACAAATGCAGAAGATGGTCACCTATGGTTATTGACCGCTGGCTGTGTGATTATGGCCAATGACCAGCGATGATATGAGCTGGGAAAAAGCAGGAGGAAATTTTCAAAAGTCCTTTGAAGCACAGGCATCGGTAACACTGAGTCATCTCTGAAACATCTGGGTTTTTAAAAGCTTCAATGTAGGATCTAAAAGCTCTCATCATAAAACTATGAGTATCTTTGTTCCAGTGATATATCTTCTGTTACTTCATCCAGGCTCACTTAGATCAATTTGGTTTGGTTAGATAACTTTATGAAGTATAAAAACACATACAAAAGTTTGGGGTCTTTAAGATTTCTCTTTGAAATAAATAAATACTTTTATATAAGAAAGTCAAGAAATAAAGTCACAATTGTGAGACAAAGTTATTCTAAGAGGAAAATGGGCTTCTACATGTGGGTCATGTCCAATCCAGACAATATAAATATCTAATTCAACATTGACCTTAAAAGCTGGAGCCAAAAGCAAATCAACCACTATCAGCCAACAGTAAATGTGATTCTACATCTGCCAGAGCAAACGCTGCATGCCAACAGAAAAACAATAAGACATTAACTGATTATGTAGGACAAACAATGTGGCGAGAGCTCATTCACATTTCTTTCACTGTATTGTTTATGGGGAACATGACACAAATACACATCTTTCAAAGTTTGCCTATGCTGTTTCACATTCTGGCCATTCAAAATACTGTACAAAACAGACACTGTAAGTGGATTTAGAAGATGATATAACGTGCGTGTGCACTTACACATGCACTAATGCAGTACCTTTAGTGTGCGGAGGCAACTCGTCTGCCAGCATGCCCAAACATTCCTTCTCAGCCATCTGCACCTCATACAGAAAGTGACAATTTGCATGTCTCCCGCTGACCTTAGGGGGCAAAGGAAAGAAAAGCAGCCGTATGATCTCAATGCTACTGCCTTCCAAGAAGTGACAAAAAATAAAGTCTCAGTCTGTGTGGTTTTCGTATCATTGATTTTTTTTTAAATATTTTTATAGTTCATTTTGGCTGTAGTTCACCCAAAAATTTAAATTTTCTGAAAATTTACTAATTCTCAGGCCATTCTTCATCAGAACAGATTTGGAGAAATGTAGGATTAAATCACTTGCTCACCAATAGATCCTCTGCAGTGAATGGGTGCCGTCAGAATGAGAGTCCAAACAGCTGATAAAAACATCACAATAATCCACAAGTAATCCACATGACTCTTTAATGTCTTGTGAAGCAAAAGGCTGTGTGTTTGTGAGAAACAAATCAAAGGCGTTTTGATTTGAAACAGTTGCTTCTGGCTAAAATAAGAGTCCATAATCAATAATAACGCTTCCTCCAGTGAAAAACTCCATCCCCTCTGTTGTCCTCTCACATCAACATCCACAACATATTTGTCTGGAGCTGTTTTAGACTGTTTGTTCTTGTAAACGGAGACTGTTTGTTCTTGTAAACGGTGCTTGACCTAAGCATATTTCTCTCCTGATTCAGAAAAGACGACTTTTTCACTGGAGAAAGCAATATTATAGACAGAGGACTCGTATTTTAGCCGGAAACAACAGTTTTAAGTTCAAACAAATTGATAAGTTAAAAATTATCAATTTGTTCATCACAAACCCATAATGTTTGGCACCGTGTGGATTACTTGTGGATTATTGTGATGATTTTCTCAGCTGTTTGGACTCTCATTCTGATGGCACCCATTCACTGCAGATGATCCTAGTGAAGAAGTGATGTAATGCTACATTTCTCCAAATCAGTTCCAATGAAAAAACAAACTTATCTACATCTTGACTGGCCATTTTGGGTAAACTATTCCTTTATATATGTCTATATAGTTTTTGGTTCATTTTATTTCAGTTTTAGTTTTAGTTATTTTAGTACATTAAGATAAAATAAAAATAAATAAATAAATAAACAATGTTGCCTTGGCAACTAAACGAAAAGTTAACATACTTCATATTTTAATTCAGTTAATGTTTTTATTTTTTTATTTTTTTATGGTTTTAGTTTTAGTTCTAGTTATATAATATCCTGGTTTCAATAACAATACATATTTCCACAGACATGCACCCTGCAGCTTAGGGATGTACATAAACATCACAAAGTTTGTCACCCAAATCAGCGCTTTAACTTTCACCCCTAAATGGAGCAAATGAAAAAATTATTTAACTTCAAATTTTTATTAGTAGACATCTAATAAATAGCCCCAGGCACTTTTTAAAAAAAATGTATGTTTTATATAAAACTCTATCGTACGGTTGAGCTGTCAGTCCATGGTAAATCTTGATTTAAATTCAGAGAATTAATTCTATTAGTTCTTTTCCAATAATAAACATTCCTTTAACTGTATTAGTATCTTGGATACATTTCATAACCTTCAGGGTCCACAAAGACAAAAAAATATATTTAAGCGTCTTTATAATATATGTAGATGAATGGCAATATATATGATGTCCTTTACAGACATATCAACCGTACGGTCACGCATGATTTTGGATAATTATGGTAAATAAAAATGTTGCATTTCTCATATATTTTGCTATATTTCTGTTCTTTACCCTCTACCCCAGGGTGCAAACTACGGGGGAGCTAGGGGGAGCTCGGCTCCCCTTAATAAGACATGGGCTCCCCTGAAAACGTGATTTGTGAAATTTTGGGGGGTCTCAAAAAATACTGACAATGTGTTATTTTGACGTGCAATTTCAGTTTTTAGATTTATTCCCTATCAAATTAAGCTCAACCGTATGGTGGAGATATCAGTTAAAGGATAAGGCAGTGCTGAACTGCTACCTCAGTTATTACGGTCTCCTGGTGAGATCATTCGAAATGACTGATCAGCACAGTTGGACTCAAAGCTGTTGTGATCAAAGAGCCGCCACAAAGCCTGTTCTACTGATGGACTAAAAATCCTCTATTATAAGAACTGTAATAATATCAAGCGAATTATCCAGAGTCACATGAAGTCATCAGTTAAAGATCTCATCAGTTGGTGTCCAGCCATGGATCATTTTTGCTTCATAAATGTGGGGGGAAATGACAGAATCATTCTGAAAATACAGGCTGTTAGAAATTAAAATTTAGATTTTTAAAAATGTAAAATACAAGCATTCTGTTTGACATCAAAAGAGAGCAAGAGCATGTATTTAAAAAGGATTCTGACATTTTTCAACTCAAATGTTTTTAATGCAAGGTCACCATCTTATGTATGTGTTTGCAAGCTCTTAGTCACTTTGGCTTTGAGCAGCACACAGACAAATCAACCCCAGATCAGAAGAGGACATAAGCCTACACTTTTAGTCTGTCATTGCTCATCTCTTTCAAAATCTTGAGCTACATCTTTGACGAGAACAGCTGTACTCATCCGAGCAGGGCTTCCTTCCCTATCACAGCTAGCAAGATCACCACACACACTAATGATATGAGTGATTGTATCAGGATTATTCTGGATCATTACAGTCAAGGCAAATGCATGCTGGCTGAGATTAACTCAAGCTGAGAGCAATTACAGTCAAGTCGAAAACACATTTGACATTCTCACCAGGTTTTTTTTTTTACCAATTTCTCAGCTTCCACTGAGAGAGAATGGATTCAGTATATGGATTACCAAAACTCTGAATCCAAACGTCTCAGCACTACTAAAAATATCCAAATGAGCTCCTTTTGTATATCTTATTTTAATGTGAGGATAGTGCATCACGTGTATCAGTACTGATAGTCTGTTGTCCCGGTTTAGCAGACTGAGTCTCATCAGCAGCCGGTCACCCAGGCACATTTCTGACTCATCCTTCTGCTTCATGGGAATTGACATATTTTTCAAAAATAATTTGTTGGGAAAACGAATAGAGGCTTTGTAGTTGAAAGGGGAGCATCTGGTGCAATAAACATGTAAAACAGCTCCACCTGAGATTGACGCTTTCTAAAAGTAAACTAAGTGACGAGGATGGAAGTAGCTAAAATGTCAAAATGAGATGAATAAATCAGATAAATGACACTTATCAGACCTCTAAAAGTTGTTTCAAGTAAATATGGCTAACGTTTAGGTGAAAAAGTCATTTTAAATACCATATAGACAAGACTGTGAGTTTATTTTTAAAGGTTAAATTCTATAAAAACACATACAGTGTATATAATAAATACAATAATAAAAACCTTCATTTAAAAACTGCATGTTGTGTTCACTTGTGTTATCTTTTACTAATATTTAAATTTGTTTGATGATCTGAAACATTAAAGTGTGACAAACATGCAAAAAAATAAGAAATCAGGAAGGGGGCCAACACTTTTTCACACCACTGTATACTAATGTTCAAAGGTTTGGGTCAGTAAGATTTTCTTAACATTGTTAAAAGAAGTCTTTTATGCTTACCAAGGCTGCATTTATTTGATTAAAAATACAGTAAAAATAGTCATATTTGTTGAATATTATTATAATTTAAAATAACTCTTTTCTACTTTAATTTATTTTAAAATATAATTTATTCATATGATGTCAAAGCTGAATTTTCAGCAGCCATTACTCCAGTCTTCAATGTCACATGATTCTTCACAATTTGGTGCTCAAGGAACATTTTTTTTATTATAATCAATGTTGAAAAAAGTTGTGCTGCTTAAAATGTAAAGTCTTTACTATCTCTTATGACCAATTTAATATGTCTTTGCATAATGAAGTCTAAAATTCTTTAAAAAGTAATAAATTAAAAATAAAAGGATCTTTTGTGACAACATCCCATATCCAAGCTAATGGGGTCAATATATGGGGGAATTTGTCACAATGGAACCTGCTGTTAAAAAGCCTATTGTAGGTTTTTCAGCAAATATTTAAAAAGTAAAACAGTTCTGAAACATAAAACAATAAACACAACGGCAAATGGCAACATACAAAAATAGGAGACTATTTGTTTTGACCAAAAAATAGTGTAATAAATACATTTTTAAAAATTGAAACATTTATAAGCCACAAGACTTAAATATAAGTGAAATGTTATAGTTACTTTTGCCTCTTTCACATAGAAGAGAGACTGGGGCAAGTTGTCACAGGGGAGGTATAGCCCTTGTGACAACTTGCCCCATCTACCTTATACAGTATATGAAAGAGGCCAAAGTAGCCATAACATTTAGAGTCACATTTAGAGTGGCAGCATGTCCAGTGCATTTTCATCTTTAAACAAAGATGTCACTCAGTCACCCTATTTTATTTGCAATATCCTTTTGCATCCTTCTGTAGTGCTGTGCATGTGACACAGTTTCCTGCTCGCTCATGCCTAAACCCCACTAGAGTAACTGCCAACAAACTCGTTTCCATGCGTTTTTCTATAGGACTACAAATTTATTTGAAGGTTATGGGGGAAATTTACTTACAATTAAATGTAGTCGCTAATCTTTTATTTTCACTGTAAACAATGACGAAGCGCAGCACAGACAGCATCTGGTTACACTGGATTGCGGGTGGTTAGTGAATAAAACATGGTTTTGCTCTGAAATGCCACACACAAAAGTGGTGTGACTGTTGAAGTTTAAACCTACGATGACGAACATCTTTACTATGTCTTCTGTGGCTTGACAATGTGTTTCTGTGCTACTCTGTTTCTCTTCTGACACAGTCAAGATGACTTAAGCTGCATGAGGTGAATCTGGATTCTGGCGGACCTTTACTGAACTGAAGTGGGTCAGCTGGAAAGCATGAAACTTTGCAAATGTCATCATCTGATTATCTGAGATTGTGTGGTCTTGTGTTTACGGTGAAAAGCAGTTGTGCAACTGTTGCAACTGTGCTGTGCAACTGTGCAACAGTTTGCAAGCCAACTTTCCATTTCTCTCACAAGAGCATAAAGCATCGCTTTAAAAGTAATTAAACACTTTCCCAATGAGAATAAGAAATGCATTTCAAGGTCAAAAGCGTTCTGAGATTTTGTTGCTTAGTTTGAAAAGTTGTGCAACACACAAAAAGCTGTGTTATTACTATCATAAACAGTGCAGACATTCCTAATTTATTTTATTGTTTTTTTGGGATTACTCACAGTATTTAGTAGAAAAAGACCTCCTGGATTATTGTTTTTGTCGTTTCATAACCTAAGCTACTATCAGAAGAATAACACATAGGCTACCTTTTACATTTTTGTTGTTTCATGAATCATTTTGTGCTTTATTTATTTATTTAGATTATAAAAACATTTTTTCCTGAGTACCCAAATAAAGTATTGAGTGGAAAAAGATCTTCTGGATTATTGTCATTTTCGTACAGCATAAGAGGTTGGGATTTTTTTTTTAGAGGAAAAGAAAAAAACTGTTCTTTCTGCCACTAAAACATTGCATTTTTCAGATCCACAAAAGCCTGTCACAGAAATACGATACCATCAAACCCCAGGAGGACAAGGAGTAGCGAAATAAAAAATGGCATTAAATGTTGCCGTATGAAATTGGTCAGGGATTGAATGGATTGAATTTTAATAGAGCACAACCACACATAACTTCCTCTCAGAGCTTTGATGGGATCTCTGTGTAATATGTCTTCAGTATCTGATGATACCTCTTGATCCATGGATTGAAAGCCTAGTTTTAGGGACGTAACCCTAGTTTTGAGGATTTTTGGGAGCAGAAATTCCATGAGCTTTAGAAATCACTGTAAATGAAAAAAAGTATTACAACAAGAACATTTTATTTTATATAAATATGAGAATTGCTGCACACAAAACAATTACGTTTGAGTGCATTCTCAATACTAATCCAAGACAAAGACTGTAGAGTGGAAAACATATCAAGGACAGTCCTTTTGTAGCATAATCCCTGTAGAAGACAAACTACACAGATATACATTACATTTGAAAAATTCTCCAGCATTCTAACATTGAGTTTGTGTGTTACATGGCGTATCTGTGCCTCTGGGGATGCAGCCATATGGACACAGAGTGTTGCACTTTAATTAAGGTCATAAAGAGATGCTCGATTATCTAAAAGAGAAGTAACTGATTAATGGACTTTTGAATAGATAAGCTTTGGCTTATTTAAAACGAGATTAACAGCAATGGCTTGTAAACCATATCTTATATAATTTAGTTATGGTGCATCAATTTTCATGCATCTAACCTATTTATCTTTGACCTTGGTATTTAACCTGCAAAAAGTCCTTTTTTTTTTTTTAAATCTTTTTCAGAAAAAAAAAATCTAAACAGCCTTAAAACAACATAAATTAACCTTAGAAGTAAAATTGCATGAGATAATACGACTTGTTTTCAGAGAACATTTCTTAAATATTAGGTATTTTTCACTTGTTTTAAGCATTTATTTGCTTGTTAGTATATCTAACAGCCATTTTGTGCCGTACATACAAAGTTTAAACTTTATGAGACCGTTTATAGGTTTTATAGCTGTAAAAGTCCATTAGGAGACCAATGTTGAAAGTACTTTTAAATCATTTTTGCATGCATTTTAAAATATTTAAGGAAAAAAAATAAACATTTTAGCTGGGCAAAAAAGCATATAGGCTTTTATTTGTCTGCAAGCCACCAGTTTTAAACTCCACAGCAAGAAATTGAGTAGCTCGTGCCCTGATGAGTCTTTTTGTGAGAGCCCTTTGGGCGAAACACCTGAATCACCACAGAGACCTTGTCTAGAATAGCCCTGACCCAGTTCTGACCGCTCCTTTAAAACATTGTGTTATGTCTCTTTTTAATATATTTGAGAGACTCATTTAAATTGTAATTTAATTTGAAACTGTGTAACAGTACGCAGGCAGAACTGAGAGTTTTGAACTTTGAGAACCTCTCAAAGCAGAGAGGTTGTTGCAAAGCGAAGATCAATAAACCAAATATAATCAGAACAGAAATTTCACACTTTTAACCCTAATGGATAAAAAAAATTAATTAATTTGTGATTACCTTAGATTGCACATAAAATTCAGATATTTTTTGCATAGAGTCTGTGGCTTGCTGTCACACTTTTTACTTAAGTGAATATTTCTCAGAAAAAAAAAGTTTATAATTTGTAGACACATACCTTAAAGTCTTTGCTGCAAAAAAATTATGAAATATTTCGCTAGTGCCCAGGAAAAAAAAAAGATATAGTTCACTGAACGCATGTTGACCTTCTGTGACAACATGCCCCGATAACTGGGGATGTCGTAATGGGGTATGTTGTCACAACTTATCCCGACATTAAACAGCCAATTTTATGCTTTTTAAAAAGTAAAGCAATTACAAAGCACAAAATGATTCGCAAAAAAATTTAAAAGTTAGCCTATGTGCTATTCTTCTGATAGTCACTGGTTTTGACCATTTCTAGTTAGACCACGCTGGTCAAGATTTCAATGATAGATCAGCTGGTAGTCTAGCAGGGCTAAGATCAACCTGGCAAACCACACTGAAAAAAACAATAAGTAGATTAATTAATTTCTATTTTGCAAGTTTTTGCACACACATTTTAAGTAAAATTTAAGTATTGAATTAAGTAAAATCTACTTGACTAAGTTAGGTAAAATTAGCAAAGGAAATAAATAAATTTAACATGGCCAGTTAGAGTTTAATGAGTCATTTCTACTTAATTGTTTTGTTAAATATGCAGTACTCAAGTACATTTCCCTCAGTTACAGTTTATAAAATTTACTCTGGAAAACAACCATGCTATTAAAGCATGCGGTTCACTTGCAAACATGTAAGTTTGATATCCTTTGAAGATAATATGTCCACTCAATATAATTATCACCCAAATGAACACAGAGACCTCAATACTTGGTACACTATACACAATGACGACGGTAACAATCAGTGGACAGTGTTTGAGTATAAATGTGAGTATAAATGGGTCATTTTGAGTAGAAAATTAACTCCAGATATCACAAAACAGTTACTAAACCTAACGACAAAATCAACCATAAAACTGTAAATACAACTCGAAAACAGTGAAAATGTTAACCTTTTTAATTATTCATGCCCCAGTGCATGATGGGAAAAACGGGATCATAACTTTGATATTTACTTAAAGAATCCTTGTAAACATAACAAACAATTCCAAGTAAAATATGCTAATAATTTCAAACTTTAATTTCTACAAGCTTAAATTGAGTAGTAATATAGAATTTACTTAATTTTTTTTAATTATTGCCTGAACTAAATTATTTGATGTAGAAATTACATTTGTTTTTATGTAGTATTTACTTCACCACAAAATCATTTTTATCAGTGCACTTTATACCAATAATGAACCAGCTATCATATTCCAAAACCAGCTTGGCAACTGTAAGCTGATATAAGCTGACTTTCATGATTTTTATAGCAGTAAACTGCTAAATGAAGTTTTTCAATTACATAAAATGCATTTGAAATGTAACTTATATTTGTGTAATTCATAAATTGAACAAAACTATAAATAGGCTATAACATAAATACATGACAACTTGACGTGACCTTTGTGAAAAACACTGAAAACAGAGTTCAACCCCTTAGTTTAAATCTACATTCATTATACAGTTGATCCCTGAAACATGCTAGCATGGTTTTAGTGTGCTAACTTATTTACCTAACAGCTATGGCTACAATATAGTTTGGAGGACACCATTCAAAGACACTGTAATGGTTAAACGTTTTGAACTAGGTTTGATACCAATGTACAAAACCAATAACAGAGAAACCCCGCATTTGTTGTGTTTGGACTTTTCACTCAAATGTCATATTTACTGTAACACGGCCCTTATGACAACACATCGCCCCTATTGACAGTTGAAACCGCACACCTGAGGCTGAGTAACTCAAAAGTACCGGCGCAGGTAGGGTCGTTACTTACCGCGTGCGCCTGCCAAACTAAGAGAAAAGCCAAACAGTTGTTCACGAGGTTCATCTTCATTTCTTGCTGGTTTCATAAATAATATCTGTCTTTAGCGTAAGTTCCGAGCAGTCCTCAGCATCAAGAGCGAGAAGTCATCCTTCAAGTCAGAAGAAAACAAGCCATTTGCGCCGAGATGTCCGGTGAAAACACTTCTGAGCCGCGAAATCCATGTGCGGTGTGCAGGAGGGCTGAGCGCGAGCTCTCGCTGAGGGGAGGCTGTTGATTCTGTTCCTCCTCCTTTAGTTCATCAGATGAGCCTTATGCACACATCTTACACTGCCAGCACTTGGACAGATGTTTAACTGGCATTCATTTCAAACACTTTGAGTGTTTATCTGATTTGGGGTCACTCAAATTGGGGTGATTTTGATGATTATGGGCTAAATATGGCTGGTTGCCACACTTTTTACTCCAGTAAATATTTCTCAAGAGTAGATTTAGTTTGAAAGTCGGTCTCTGTATAGACACATACTCTAAAAATCATTGGCTACACAAAAGCGATTGAACATTTCCACAGCCCAGGACAAAACATGTTGTCAAAAGACCTTTAGACAACATGCCCCTATTTAGGTAGTCCCAATCGAACCTGCCTTTAAACAGCCTATAATGGCTTTTCAGCAACATTTAAACAGTAAAACAATCGTGAATAAAATAAATCATGAAACAGCACAATGTACAAAAATATTGAAAACTTTTTTTTTTTTGGCCAAATACTTATTGTATTTAATGAATTTATACCAAAACACGTGATGACTTGCCTCAACTTGACTTCTATGAAAAATAACGTGTGCTGGCACAAGGACAGAATTCATTCAAATATTCTCATTTAAAAGCAACATACAAAATCACTCTTACACAAACGTTTTGATATCTTTTACTTGTTTGGTTGGGTGGCTGTGAAAAAGCACAGTTCATCTGGAGAGAAGAGCAATCAGTTAACAAGCATGAAAATGAGTGTGAAAATACGCGTGAAGTCTTATTTGGATTCTAAAATATCAGAATCAGAAAGAGCTTTATTGCCAAGTATGTTTGCACATACAAGGAATTTGTTATAGTGTCACAAGCTTCCAGTACACGGAGACAACAACAACACACAGATAATAAAAATGAGATGTGAATAAAATACACATAACGCATAATAAAAATACGCATAAATATAAACCACAAAAAAAGAATAAATTGTATGTACAGGTATGCTATAGATGGAATAGGAATAGAATAAAATAAAATAAGTTGTAGGGATGTATATTTATTAGTTTGGACTCCAAACTATTGTGCATCAAGTGATTTGCTGATTAGTTCAGCATTAACTTGAGAAAATAAGCTAACTTCTCCCTTCTTAAAGATGAAGTCTTGTGGGTGAACCTGTGAATATTTTTGCTTTCATATAAATGTCAAACCACAAGTTATGTAGTTCATAGATGTGATAAACTTGAAAGAGTGACTGACCAACAAAAACATTTATGTGTGTAAAGGTAGAGGAGACATATTCCTTTTTTTATGTATTTTTGTGCTTGTCAGGTTTTGCTATTTCACTTTTTAAACTACAGTACACTGAAAAAATTGGTGTAGGATTGGCTTTGGCAATTATTTATTTTCTTTGTAATTACTTTGGCAAATTACAAAGCAGCAGCAAGTACACTAAATTAAATGTGAAACTTTGAAGTACTGTAGAAAAACTGAAATTGCATTTTCTTGTAAAACATTCTCCAATAATTTTTGTATTATTACTTGAAAACTCATTTTACAGTGTATGAATTGAACACTGATGGATCATTCATTTGGACCTGAATTACTTGGAACAGCTATATCTGTATTTGAAAGATCTGCCCAATAAATGACACCCAAGATACCGCCAGTGTGTGTAACGGGTCAGTTGAGCTAAACAGCAGCTTAATAAATCGTAACTTTCTCAGCACTGAAGTGCAGTTCCAGGAAATCACCTCATTCATAAGCATTGTATTTATTCTTGGTCAGGTAATGTGACTCTATGAACATCATGTGGTGGAGTTTGGAGACAGATGTGGAAATATGTAAATCAGAGAGCAGCCATTGTCTCTTTGACTGTTTTCCACTCTTTGAGCTGATGGGAGAAGAGTGTATCAAACAGAAACATGGTAATATATGAAAAAGATCTGTCTCGAGTGTTATTATTATAAAGTACAGCTCATGTATACTCTTAAATGCTCTTTAAAATAAAGCTTCCAAAGGGGGTTTTCACAGCGATGCCATAGGAGAACCATTTTTGGTTCCCTAAAGAACCCTTCATTGAACACTAACAGTTCTTAAAAGAACCATCTTTTTCTTAGTGTGAAGAACATTTTAAAAATATAAAGAACATTTTTTCATTATGAATGTAAAATGTCCATGGACTGTTAAAGGTTCTTCGTGGAACCTTATGACAATAAAGAACCTTTATTTTCAAGAGTGTATTTGAGGATAATGTTCAAAAATTAATGCAATACAGTGTGAGAATTTGCTTATTAGTGACTTTGTAGTTATTCTGGAGATAACTGGCTGGGCTTTGACATGACAGTGACCTCTTCTGGTTGTCCTAGTGTAACAGGGCTGACGAGACGTGAGACGTGTGGATCCATCTGCAGGCTTTATTAAAGAGACGTGGTAAACAGGCAGGGTCAAACAATGGCAAACAGGTATATGGCGGGCAAAACACAAGAATAGTCCCAGGGCTAGCGTAGGTCACCGATCGGCAGACAGAATCACAGGGGTGAGACGAGAGGGAAAAATCCAGGAAAACAGGCAAAGATCAGAAACCGCGAAAACAGGCAAGGCAAGGCAAAACAAGGAAAACTCAGAGACTCGGAATGGGACTCGGAATGGGGTACGGGCTAAACAATACTCAGCAGAGAAAGGTGGTTAGAGTGGGTGTTATATAGTGAGTGAGGTGATTAGAAACAGCTGTGTGCAATGAGTGCAATCAGTGCAGTGTGCAAATCGTGCAAAGAATGATGGGATATGTAGTCCGGGGTGCTATGCAACAGTTTGTGTTGTGCGAGAGTCAATGTAATGGAAAGGGTGACCTCTGGTGGTGAATAAACGGAAGTCCATGGACCGAATTCGTGACACCTAGGGCTAATGTGTCACATGATAAGTCATCCTACCATATAATGAGCTTTGGATGAAACCATCCCAAATGTGATGTTTGAGAACGCATTTTATTCAAATGCAAACCAGACATTGCCAGACAGATGAGAACACAATTGAATCTGCGTATTTTGAGGTCTGTCAGACTACACAGGATGTCTGAATTAATGCATTTTCATAAAATATGAGTAGCAAGTTTTATTTTTAATCAAGCCGGATGATCATAGACAGTGTGGAAAGATGAACAGAAGACATTACTCTCTCAAATCCAGACCATCTGCACTGGAACATTTCACAAAGGAAAATACTGACATGTAGTTGGTCATCATTTATGGCTTTTTATTCTGGTGTATTCTTTTACGTTCCCAAAAATGCACCTTGCGTCAGATGCGCATATTAAAACCCAGACAGGATTTCTCCTTCTATGGAGATTCAATGGTGTATCATTTCCCAAAAAGTCTGAGAAGGAAAAATGAACAGAGTGCACTGAATAGAGTCTAGATTAAGAGCTGCACTGATAGTTCCCACAGATAGTGGACTGATCCAGGACGTCATTATGAAGAGATTCTGAAAACCCAGACAGGATTTCTCCTTCTATGGAGATTCAATGGTGTATCATTTCCCAAAAAGTCTGAGAAGGAAAAATGAACAGAGAGTGCACTGAATAGAGTCTAGATTAAGAGCTGCACTGATAGTTCCCACAGATAGTGAACTGATCCAGGACGTCATTATGAAGAGATTCTGCTCAGACAGGAATCTGAAACATGATATTTCACTGCTAGTCTCACTCTGGGATATTTCATAGGTTGTGGGAAAAAAGGAAAAACAAAATTCATGAATATTCTGTTCTAAAACTTTTGCTGAGAGAAAAATAGTCCATTACAACGTATGAAACAATCTGCATTGCAACAAAGATCAACACTGCTGCTACAATATTACAGAACTATTCATGTTAAAACATAAAGATGTCTGGCTGCAGGTAACTTATGCATTAAGCTTAAAGGAATAGTTTATCCAAAAATGAAATTTTGCTGAAAACTCACCATCAGGCCATCCATGTTATAGATGAGTTTGTTTCTTCATCAGAACTGATTTGGAGAAATTTAGCATTACATCACTTGCTCACCACTGAATCCTCTGCAGTGAATGGGTGCCGTCAGAATGAGAGTCCAAACAGCTGATAAAAACATCACAATAATCCACACGACTCCAGGCCATCAATTATAATCTTGTGAAGTGAAAAGCTGTGCGCCTATAATACTGCTTTCTGAATCAGGAAAGAAATATGCACAGATCAAGTTTCTAAGACCATTTCAGATCGTTTCTAAGTGAAAACAGTCCAAAACATTTTTGTGTGTTATTATTGATTATGGACTGGTATTTTGGCCAGAAGTGGCAGTTTAAATTTAAAATGACTTTGATTACTTTCTTACAAACATGCAGCTTTTCAAGACATTAATTGATGGCCTGGAGTCTTGTGGACTACTTGTGGATTATTGTGATGTTCTTATCACTTGTTTGGACTCTCATTCTGACGGCACCCATTCACTGCTGAGGATCCATTGGATGCAAGTGATGTAATGCTACATTTTTTCAAATCAGTTTCAATGAAAAAACAAACTAATCTACATCTTGGATGGCTTTAGGGTGAGTACATTTTTTTTTTTTAGCAAATTTTCATTTTTGGTTGAACTATTTCTTTAAGCTTTACATAAGCATCAACAATAAAAAAAAAAAGGTCTTTGCTTAAGAAAATACAACTGTAGTGATATATGGATCATAATTATTAAGTGTCTTCTTAGTGTTCTCATTCCTGGCAAATTCTTTCTTTAAAAAAAGGACCTATTACGCAGACTCTGCCAGAGTAACAGAAATAATGACAAACATTTTGTCTAACGTTGAGATGTGTTTAGACTATTCATTACTTTGTTGTGATATTAAAGAGGGGGGAATGTAAGCACATAAAGATCCAAATAAATTGGGCCATGCAAACCTTTACAGAGAACTGTGAATATTTGGGTTCCCAGCATTTCAGGCCTCATAATGGTAAAACAGCTGAATACTTTCCATTTCTATTAAATTACCTATGAATATGAGTTCAGATCTTTGACACAG